CTGTTCACCATTTCTTATTGCACAATAGCATTCTATTACACTCATACACCAAAGCTTCTTCAGTCATTCCCCAATTGATGGAAATCCCCTCAATTTCCAATATTTTGCCACCATGAAAAGGGTTGCTATAAATATTTTTGCACATGTAGGTGTCTGTGTGTGTGTGTGTGTATATACACACATACACACATATACATGTATAAATATATGTATATACACATATATGTAAATATATACATATATACATACATATATACATACATATATATATATATATACACATATATACATACACAGATATATACATATACGTATCTTAAGGATATAGACCTATTAGTGGTATTACTGAATCAAAGTGCTCTCTAGAATTTGCTTTCTAAGAATCAGTTCACAACTCCATTAACAATGAATTAGTGTCCCAGTTTTCCCACATACTCTCCAACATTTATCATTTTCCTTTTTTTTTTGTCATATTAGCCAATCTGATAGGTGTGAGATGGTACATCAGGATTGTTTTAATTTGCACTTCTCTAATCAAAAGTGATTTAGAGTATTTCTTCATATGCCTAGAGATGGCCTTGATTTCTTCATCTGAAAACTGCCTATTCATATCCTTTGACCATCTATCAATTGGGGAGTGGTTTGTATTCTTATAAATTTACTCAGTTCTCTATATATTTGAGAAATTAGGCCTTTATCAGCGACACTTGCTGTAAAGATTGCTTCCCAGTTTTCTACCTTCCTTCTAATCCTGGTTACATTGGTTTTGTTTGTGCAAAAGCTTTTTTAAATTTAATATAATCTAAATTATCTCTTTTACATTTGTAATGCTCTCTATCTCTTGTTTGGCCATGGCCTTATAATTCATTTAACTTGTATTTAGGAATTTGGATGCTACATGACTTGTTGCATATATGTTTAGTATTGATATTTCTTCATTGTCTATGGTACCTTTTAGCAAGAGTTAGTTTCCTTCCTTACCTCTTTTATTTAGATCTATTTTTGCTTTTGCTTTGTCTGATACTACAATTGCTACCCCTGTTTTTTTTTTTTACTTCAGCTATAGCATAATAGATTGTGCTCCAGCCCTTTACCTTTATTTTGTGTGTCTCTCTCTGCTTCAAGTGTTTCTTTTAAACAACGTAGGATTCTGGTTTTTTATTCTCTTTGCTATCCACTTTGTTTTTACAGGAGAGTTCATCCCATTCACATTCACAATTATGATTATCAACTATGTGTTTCCCTCCATCTTATTTTTCCTCTCGTTTGTCCTCTCTCTCCTTTCACCCCTTCCTTCTTTGATAGCATTTTGCTTCTTTCTACCATCTCCCTCCATTTGTACTCCCTTCTGTCCACCCCCCCACCCACATACTTACTTAAGTTCTTCCTCTCCTACTTTCCTGTTGGGCAAGATAGATTTCTATGTTCAATTGATTGTGCGTGTTATTTCCTCTTTGAGCCAATATTGATGAGAGTAAGGTTCAAGCATGCCCATCTCCCACCATTCCATCTTTCCCTCCATAGTAATAAGTTTTTTGTGCTTCTTCATGTGAAATAATTTACCCCATTCTACCTCTCCCTTTCTTCTATACCCAGTGTATTTCTCTTTCTCATCCCTTAATTATTTTGTAATGTTATTCCTTCAAATTTACCTCATACCCATGCCCTTTGTCTTTATATATTCCTTCTAGCTGTGCTATTAGTGGTACAATTTTTAAGAATTACAAGTATCATCTTCCCATGTAGGGGTATAAACAGTTCAGCTCTATCAAATCCCTTATGTCCTGTATTCCCCTTTTCCCTTTTTAGGCTTCTCTTGGGTTTAGATATTGGAGATCAAAATTTCTGTTCAATTCTGGTCTTCTACTTTAGAAAGCATGAAATTCTTCTTTTCCACTGAATGACTATTTTTTCACTTGAAGTATTATGCTTAATTTTGTCAGGTAGGTGATTCTTGGTTGTAGCTCTGTTTCCTTGCTCTTTTGGAATATCGTGTCCCATGACCTCTGATCCTTCAATGTTACAGAGGTTAGTGCCTGGGTAACCTTGATTGTGGCTCTCCAATATTTGAGTCGTTTCTTTCTGTCCACTTGGAGCATTTTTTTTTCCTTGACCTGATATTTGTGTAATTTGCCTATACTGTTCTTGGGAGTTTTAATTTTGGGATCTCTTTCATGTGGTGATTACTGGATTCTTTCAATGCCTGTTTTGCCCTTTAGTTCCAGGATATCAGGACAGTTTTCCTGGATAATTTCTTGAAAGATGCTGTCCAGGTCCTCCTTTTGATTATGGTTTTCAGATTGTCCAATGATTCTGATATTTTCTCTCCTGGGTCTATTTTCCAGGTCAGTTGTTTTTCCAATGAGGTATTTTACATTTTCTTCTATTTTTTCACTCTTCTGAATTTGTTTGATTGATTTTTGTTGTCTCATAGAGTCATTTGCTTCCACTTGCACAATTCTAACTTTTAAGGAATTTTTTCCTCAGTTAGCTTTTGTATTTTCTTTTCCATTTGGCCAATTGTACTTTTTAAGAAGCTGTTTTCTTTTTCCAAGAAATCAAATCTTTTTTTTTTTTTCATAATTATCTTGTATTGCTCTCATGATGTCTCTCATTTTGTCTTCTACCTCTCTTGTATGATTTTTAGGCTCCTTTTTGAGCTCTTCTGTGAGTTCTTGCTGGGCTTAAGACCACTTCACCTTTTTCTTTGGGGTTTTGCCCAAAGATGTTTTGACATTGTTGTCGTCTTCTGAGTTGTATCTTGATTTTCCCCATTACCACAATAACTTTCTATGGGCAGATTCTTTTTTGTGGTTGTGTTTTGCTCATCTTTTTTGGCCTTTTCCTTTCTTTTAGGTATGAGCTCTGTCTCAGGCTTCTTATGCCAGGGGATTCAGGCTCTACCTGTTTACCAAGTGCTGCACTGATATTGCACTGAGGCCCACTGGGGACTTTCCTGTCTGGTGCTGTGCTGAGGGGATGGAGAGGTGGTGACTGGTGTTACTGGAGGCCACAGAGATCTGGCAGCTTATTTGGTGCTAAACCAGGTACTAGTGCTGATGTCTGACATTTACTGAGGCTGGTGTGTTGTTTCTACATTCCTCATGGCTACATTGAAACACATGGTGGTCTGGTCTACGGTGACTGCCTGTACCTCCCAAAGATTCTTGATTTTTGAACAATTAGAAAAGGGAAATTTTGGAAAGTGTTTCATGTGTCATTGCACATTGAAAAAAAATACCTAGAAAGAAATGATCAAGAAGTCATAATTCTATATCAGATGCTTTCTATTCTTCAGTTAAAACGAATCCTCCTACTATAAACATGAAACTAAAAATATTATTGAGAATTCAAAAATAATTTTTATAGGACCTGTATTATGACCAGTAAAATCATCACCCATAATTACACAGATATATCTTTGTTCTATAAAATTTTAGAAAAAAAAATTACCTGTGTTGCCATGTATAGCACTCATAACAACTAAACTCTGTGACAAAATAAAAAAATCTCCTAAAATATGGATACCTAGAAAAAATAAAATAAAACTAAAACTGTTAGAGAACATGAAAAATACTTTTCAGTTCAATCATCTTACCTACTTCTAGAGATATCCAAAATATATAATCTAATCATTCACTCACAATAGTACTCTGAAAAAGGAAGGAAGGATGATCACAAACGCATTCCCATTATTTTTCTTAATAGTATTTTATTTTTTTCCAATTACATGTAAAAATAGTTTTCAACATTCATCTTTTTAAGATTTTGAGCTCCAAATTTTTCTCCCTCCTTCCTTCCCTTCCTTTCCCCACCCCAAGAAAGCAAGTAATCCAATATAGCTTATACATGTACTATCATGTTAAACATATTTCCACATTAGTCGTGTTGTGAAAGAAAACTCAAAACAAAAGGGAAAAATAAGAAAGAAAAAAAAGATGAAAATAGTATGCTTTAATCTTCATTCAGACTCCATAGTTGCTTTCTCTGGATGTGGTCAGCACTTTCTATCATGAGTCCCTTGGAATTATGTTGGATCATTGCCTTGCTGAGAAGAGCTAAGTTGATCATCACACAGTGTTGCTGTTACTGTGTACAATGTTTTCTTGGTTCACTCAATTATCTCTGCATCTATTCACATAAGTCTTCCAGGTTTTTCTGAAATCTGCAAGGCCTAGTTCTCATATTGTTGCAGTCTAGCGGTGCTGGGAACCCCAAAATTCAAGGGCAAAAGGTGAGGGTCCTGCCTTCTTTCAGAAACAAGGTTTATTGTTTTGCCAAAAGAAGTGGGTGGGATTTTTAAGAACCTGAGCATTTGGTAGAGGCTGACCTGTTGATAGGGGAAAAAGATTTGTGGGAAGATTTGAATGGGATCTAGGAGTAGCCACCAGTCTGGGTTGACCAGGAGGTAATAGAGAAGTGGTCTAGATGGGATTAAGGGTAGGAAATAGCCTGGGGTGGTCTAGAGGTAAGAGACAATGAAGGGCTAGGCTGGGTTAGAGGTAATAGAGAATTGAAGGTCAGAGTCACAATGAAAGGACAGTTGAAAGGATTATTCTGGGAAGAGCCAATGACTCAGGCAAATACCAGTGAGAAAGTTCAGTGGAAGTTGAAAGGGAGGGGGTGTCCAGGGCCCAAATGCAGAGGTTCAGGAAACAATATATGTTGAGGTTTTGGGGTACTGGAACCCCAGAATAGTGACATGTGGGTCCTGCCCAAATAAATTTGGCCTAAGCCTTCTTTCAGCCAAAGACAAGGTTTATTAAAGATTCACCTTACTGGCCAGACTCTTATGGAATCTGAATATATGTGAGCTATTGGTTTGATTTTGAGAATCTGAGCCCTTGGCTAGACTCTTTCCCCCTCCCCGTATATTTAAAGATAATCACTTACAAAGCATACAATTTTTTTCCTAGCTTGCACAAAAAACTTCTGACATGGGGAATGAAAAATGCCACCACCCAAGCACACAGAAAAAATTTAAAAAAAAATAAAACACCCTAGATGGGCTTAATTTTGAAATGTAAGCTGATAAAACTGAGTACTAAACACTTTAGGTCCTGCATCATGTAATAAAGTACTTCCAAACCTTCAGGATCCTTGGACTGGTCTGCATCAACAATGGAGTCAATTTTGGATGTGGTAAAAGAAATGTGTTCATCTCCAATCACAACTTCAAGCCAGCCCACCCTGTCTGGTGGAGGCCACAAAGCATCATCTTCTTTTGTTACCTCACTGTCATCGATGATTCTCTTGAGTTCCTCCATCATACTCTTATGGACATAAGGCTATTTTCATATAACCATGTCATTTTTGTAATCGCTGTTATTGGCATACGTAAGTGGAAACTTGAACTCCAAGAACACGTGGCCAGATGTGCCCTTGTGTCCTATGTAGTAGGTCAGGTAAAATCTCTAGCCATGGCCGAGTGAAGCTAGGCCTGGCATCTGTGGGATGCTTGGAGGGGTGAGAGGCCATGCAATGCCTGACCAGCACTAGCTTTTCCTTGGCTAGAATCTTAAAAATCTGAATCTGCAATCCCATTGTTAAGAGAGTGTAGGGTAGGAAAAGAAAACTGGACAGGAAATAAAGGTCACCTGGGTTCAAGTCTAAACTCTATTATATACCATATCTATCATGGTTAAATCATTTAATCTCTCTAGGTCTGTTTCCTTATCTCTAAAGTGGGAATGGTTACGTTCCTAGTACAATTATCTGTAATGGTACCTATTGCTTTCATATGATTGTTCTCAGGGTCAAATGAGAGAAAAAAAAAACTTTGAAAACTATAAATCCTATAAAAACCATGTCATCATTCACTTATCTAAAGTTTTCAGTTTCTTATAATTATTCTTGTTGATTCACTGTCATTCCTCTTCATACTGGTGACATCAGATCAAATTCAAAGACTTAATTTTTTGGACATTCATCCCTAATATCATTAGAAGCTGTGAATCATTTACCTGTGTACCTTCTCTCATGTAATGTTCTAGTCTTTATCTCATTCAGATTTTACCACCCCTAAGCTATGATTTTGTTAAACTGTACTTTGGAATATCTATATTTTATTGCAGTGCCCAGAAGCCAGCAGAGAAGGTACATGTCAATTTATAGCTCATAATTCCTCCTTCATCCTGGTTTCTTCATTTTCCATAGGAAAAAAATAGGGCAAATTTTGATAATAGGCACCAGGGACTTGAGTAATATCTCTCCTATCTTGGTCATAGCTACAGTATGTTTTTCAAATATCAGATAGCTAGACTTAAGGATCTTTAAAACACCTTCTCCCTATCCTCAACCCCCAATCATCTATGCATGTACTGTAAGTGTACGTACAAAAGATATTTATTGAAAACATCCAAATCCACATCCATAAACTACCACTGTTCTCTCTAGTATATATACCAAGATTTGCATTTATATAGACATACAGATACAGATATTCAAATTTCATATCAGTTGCTAATATATTTTCTTGCTTTAGCGTCATATAAAAGGAACATTTTAATCTACACTAGCTGTATGTCTTTCTGTCCCATCACATAGGAAACCAGTATCCCAAAATTACATAAGAATAATAGGATTGTCACTTCCTATTCAAGAAAAAGTTCTAATATATCAAAGTCCCATTTGTCTCTGTTTTCTTACTTTATTATAATGGATTTAGTAATCTATCTTTTCTTTCAAGCATATTCTTGACTGATTTATTTTAAACAAATGCATTTATTAGGGATGTTAGTGTTAATAGAAAATGCTAGAAAGAAAAAAAGAGTGAAGGAAGGGAAAAAAAGGAGGGAATGAAGGAGAGAAGGAAGGAAGGAAGGAAAGAAGAAAGGACAGAAAAGAGAAAGGGAGAGAGGGATAAATGGAGGAAGGGAGGAAGGGGAGGAAGGAGGTGTAATGAGGGCTTAGAATATGTAAAGACAAATTGGGATTGTATCTTCTCAGGTAGAGAGACTTCAGAGCCTGATTCTAGGATTGTCATGATGACATGTAAGGAAAGTGACTTGGAAAGACTTTAGAGCATGCAAGCAACCATTGAGAGATAAAGAGAGGCAGGCATAGATAAACACATAGAGGCAGAATGAGACAGAGACAGAGAGACTGAGTCAGAAAGACAACTACAGAGACAGAAACATAGAGACAGAAAAATTAAAAAATCTGTCTAGGTTAATGTGAAAGACAGTAACATATTAGACTTAACATATTCTCTTAAGATTCAATGTAAGGATAACAAATGTGTAGAACTAAATTCAGAAAGAACTCTCTCATTTTACAGATGAGAAGACCATGAAGGTTAAGTGATTTAATTAAGTTCACACAGGAAGTTGGCAGCAGAGGCAAGGTTTGAACACAGATCTTTGATTTCAATGACATGCTATCCACAATCACATGATTATTTAATATAATTATAAAATTGAAATATGAGCTTTTCGAACATTAACTATGCTTTTCTGAGGTTATTACAAGATCATAGTTCAGTTATTGGATAACTGTGACATTGATGCAGTCATTTCCCTTTCTGGGCCTCACTTTTTTCCTTTTATAAAATAAGAGGTTCAATGCAGGTAATTTCTAAGATCTCTTCCAGTTTTCATCTCATAAAGAACTACTATTTTACCAAGAATTACCATCATCAGAGTTTCCTTGAAAAAAATAAACCTTTTTTCAGCAAGTTCTTCAACTGAGATAGACTTGGATTCATTGAGTCAACTTGTAGTGTTTATTATAGAAATTGAATTTACTAATTTGAAAAGGGGGGGAAAAGGATGAGAACCATATACTTAACTGCATTTTATCTGAACATTATAAATGAGGTCCTAGTTTAAAACAGAGTTTGGGCTATCAATTTTCATAAACAAAAGTTCTAGTGAATGAATTTTTTTCTCTCTCCTTTTCTGGGGCTTCTCAGTTATTAACCCCCCTTACTCTCACCTCCTTATCTCTTCAGTTTGTAATTTATTTGTGAAGTTTTAAAAATTTTGTAGAAGACATTTTTTCTGGAAGTCTTACCCCATTATCCTAGTTCCATCCTTAAAATTGTTACTATAGATAACAAAGACTTAAATTCACATTAGTGATATCCAGCTACAATATGAACAAAAATGACATTCTATTACATGACTGGAGCTGGCATTTATATAGAACATTATGGTTTGAAGAGCATTTTACATTCGTTATTTTATTTGAGCCTCACAACACTCTCATGAGACAAATATTACTGGTATTATGTAATTTTATAGGAAAAGATACTGAGTTTTGGAGAGGTATTAGAGGCAGAATTAAATCTAGATCTCTTCTGACTTGAAATCCAGTACTTCTTTTTTTTTTGCTATGTTGAGCTACATCACTTAGAACAAAATCTCAATTCCATTAATGAATTATAATTTTAGATCCCGAGCCTAAACATTTCATTTCAACCATCTGTTACAAGAAAACCCAAACTTTATGCTTTCATTCTCAGGATCATTAGTGTATTGGGGGCATAAATAGTCTATACATTAGTCTTAGGAATTAATTCCCCTGTCTCTTTGGGGAAGGGACTAACGTACTTCAGGCTCTTATTTTTGCACAATGCCATCCTAAAATTACCATCCTTTAATTCTCCTTTGATGAGGAAACCTCAGTATTCCCTTCTGTGTTTCTTCCTTCCTCTTTGGGTTACTGATTCTGACACAGTCACTGATAGAAGTCAGTCCTAGAGTCTTATTAACTCTTTCCTTCCTTTTTTTAAAATATAAATTTACTTATTTTTAGTTTTCAACATATACTTCTACAAGATTTTGAATTCCAAATTTCCCCCATCTTGCCCCTGCCCCCACCCCAAGATGACATGCATTCTGAATATCCCTTCCCCTGCTCTGCCCTCCCTTCTATCTCTCCCCACCCCCTTCTCTTATCCCCTTCCACTTCTATTTTCCTGCAGGGCAGGATAGATTTCTGTACCTCATTTCCTGTATTTCTTTTTTCCCAGTTGCATGTTGAAACATTTTTTTAAACATGTGTTTCTAAAACTTAGGGTTCCAAATTTTCTCCCTTCCTCCCACCCCACCTACACTCATTGAAAAGGCAAGCAACTCAATACAGGCCATATATGTGCAGTTATGCAAAACACTTCCATAGTAGACGTGTTGTGAAAAACTAACTCTATTTCCCTTAATCCTATCCTGCCCCCCCCATTTATTCTATTATTTCTTTTGACTCTGTCCCTCCTCCTAAGTACTTCCTTCTGATTACCCCTTTCCCAATCTGCCCTTCTGTCTATCATCCCCCTGCTCTCTTGTCCCCCTTTTCCCCTATTTCCTGTAGGGTAAGACAGATTTCCATATCCAATTGAGTGTGTATGTTATTCCCTCCTTAAGCCAAATCCTATGAGAATAAGATTCCCTTATTTCCTCTCACCTTCCCCTGTTTCCTCTCCACCGTAAGAACCTTTTGTTGTCTATTTTGTGCAAGATAATGTACCCTATTCTACCTCTCCATTTCTCTTTCTCCTAGTATAATCCTCTCTCACCCCTTAATTTTATTCTCCAGATATCATCCCTTCATCTTCAGCTGACCCTGTGCCCTCTATCTATCTATCTATCTATCTATCTATCTATCTATCCATATAAATTTTCCACCCTCCTACTACCTTAATACTGACAAAAGCCTCATGAGTTATAAATATCATCTTTTCATGCAGGAATTTGAGGAGCAAGAGAAGTAGAGGAAAAACTGGGAAGAGAAATGAAAGTGATGCAAGAAAATCATGAAAAACAAGTCAACAGCTTGCTAAAGGAGACCCAAAAAAATACTGAAGAAAACAGCACCTTAAAAAATAGCCTAACCCAAATGGCAAAAGATGTCCAAAAAGCCAATGAGGAGAAGAATGCCCTCAAAAGAAAAATTGGCCAAACGGAAAAGGAAGTCCAAAAGCTTATTGAAGAAAATACTTCCTTAAAAATTAGAATAGAGCAATTGGAAGATAGTGACTTTATGAGAAATCAAGACACAGAAGAACAAATCCAAAAGAATGAAAAATTAGACAACAATGTGAAATATCTCATTGGAAAAACAACTGACCTGGAAAATAGATCCAGGAGAGGGAATTTAAAAATTATTGGATTATCTGAAATCCATTATCAAAAAAAGAGTCTAGACATCATCTTTCAAGAAATTATCAAGGAAAACTGCCCTGATATTTTAGAACCAGAGGGCAAAATAGAAATTGAAAGAATCCACTGATCTCCCCCTGAAAGCAAGATCTCCAAAGGAAAACTCCTAGGAATATTGTAGCCAAATTCCAGAGTTCCCAGGTCAAGGAGACAATATTACAAGTAGCCAGAAAGAAACAATTCAAGTATGGTGGAAACACAATCAGGATAACAGAAGATTTAGCAGCTTCTACATTAAGGGACCGGATAGCATGGAA